ACATGACAGGTCTTGGTTCTCATTCTATCCCCTTGCTGTTTCTTTCCCTTGAAAAATAATTCAGAATAAGATGGTTAGCCGCCATGATCTAATAGGGCATTGTCAGTTTCACTATATCAGGTGTGGCTCAGTAATTTTTAAAAATATTAATTCACAGATCTCAAAATGGATCAGTCATAAAAATATAATTTTTAAAAATTGTTATCATAGCCAAGGATTTAGCTCAGCAGTTCTGCCACCTGCCTTGCAAGCGCAAGGACCAGAGATCAATCCCCAGTACCAAAAAAAACAAAAAATTGTTATCATAGTTTTGTTTATTCCAGTTTTGTTTTTTTGTTTTTTTTTTGGTCTTTTGAATCAAGGTCTCGCTATTGAACTGTGTAACCCAGGTTGCCTCCACGAGCTGTGGCACCACTACATCTAGCTATAAAAATCTAATTTTTAAAATCTTACCTGAAATAGTTTTATAAACTTGTACAGGAAATGAATAATTATACATTAAAGTCCTTTACATAAATTCCCTTTTTCCTCTAAAAGAATTAACAATTATGGATATATATAAAAATAGAAAAATACTTTTCTTTAAAGGTAGGTAATGCATACAGATGAAGTATGCTGATGAGGAATAATAAAAAGCAATGAGTGTAATTTTTTTTCCTAAAATAAGAAAAGAAGCATTCATAAAAGTTCAATAATCTGTTTCAATGAACCATGGGACAGTTTTATGTTCCTGCTAGAACGCTGGTTTACTCCTGCTGCGTTCCCAACTCTCCCCATCAATGAGTTCACACTCCTTGATTTCACTACCCCAAGCTGGAACAAAGGCTTCTTCACAGGAAAGTGACACAGATTGGTGCATTTTAAACTGTTCCCTCCTTTATCCCACCTCTTTTGTTGTCCTTTAATCCTTCTCTTCCCTCTACTCTTTTCATGTCTCCTCCCTTCTCCCTTTCTTTTATCTAATCTTCTCAAGTATTCCAGAGAAGATGTGCTTGTTGAACCCTATCTCCTTTTTTCCCTTCACTCCCCATACATACTCACCATCTGCTGTTTTAAAATGCACTTTTCTTTTGACTTACTTATTCATTTTTTTTACTTTCCTCCTATCTAGAAAAATATTTCAATGAAAAAAATTTTTTTAAATTTTTCTTTCTTTTTTTTTTTTTTGTTACTGGGGATCAAACTTGGGACCTTGTGCTTGTGAGGCAGGCTGCAGAACCACTGAGCCACATCCCCGGCCCTTATTCATTATTGAATCTTCTTTTCTTGCCAACTCTACTCTTTTTCTCAGCTGGCCATGCTCATTTTTCAGGCTATATTTAAATGAGCATATACTTAAATGAGTGTATGAGGAGGGCAGGTAGAGTGTCTTCAGTGTTTATTCCAACTTCATATCCCCCCAATCCCATATATTTTTTAAAAAGAGTCTTGCTATGTAGTCCAGGCTAGCCTTGAACTTGCTGTGTAGCCCAGGCTCATGATGCTCTTGCCTCAGCCTCCCTGAGTGTTGGGATTAAAGATGCCACCCCACTTGGCTATATTTTCCCCTTGCAACAATTCCCAGCATTTCCTATAAAGAAAGCTTCCCTCCTTTGCTCTCTGCCTCACATAATGTTCTTAGTCTTTATTGTACCTCTTTCCTAAATGGCATTATTTAATCTGGTGGCGCTAACAACAGTACCTCAGAGCATTTAGCAAATAAACTGGACTAGAGAAATGAGTGCAATACTTATGCCCTTGGACATGAGTCACCAGGTTAGCCAGACAAGAAAAAAGCCAGACAAGAAAAAGCAAGAGGACAAACAGAATTGGACCTGGTGCAATTCACGAGGCAAAGCTATCACACTTCAGTTACCAGTCTAGAACCAATGTGACGGAGACCACCTCCATCAACAAAGAGCCTTTGGGGCGTAGAACACATCAGTACATGGGGTACACTGGAGCCATACTTAGGAGTATAAACCAGAAGACATTTTCTGCCTTTTGAATCATTTTGTCAAAATAAGCTGAGCACGTGAATAGACTTGGTCTGTTAAAAGAGTATTAGCATAAAAATCCCTGAAACACTTCAAGATTGATTTGGAATGCAATTCTTCACTAAATTAATTACCAAAAACTTGGCTTCTCTTCCTTGATGTCTGGGAGATGTGATATGTGTATGCTGTATATAAATATATATATTCAGATTCTCCCTCTCTGATGCCTAGTTTCCTGCCAGTCACTGTTTTTCTATATGAACTCCAGGCTGTAAGGGGTGCACACTGGGAGGTAAATTAGCTCTTTAAGCCCTAGGGTGCCAATTAGTAGAAGGACAGTAAGTGGAACAAGAAGGTCCCTAGCGTTTATTTTGTCCAACCCCCTCATTTTGCACTTAAAGTGACAGAAGCTCGATGGGGTTGTGATTTGCAGTTGCACAACTGGTTCTGCCACTACTATTGTAACCTTAGGCAAATCCTTCAGAGGGTCTGGATCTTGGCTGCTCCTCCTATTAAAGGGATGAAGGAAATCACAGCTAGCATTTCTTAGGAGCTTCCCATGAGCCAGGCACTACACAAAGTACTTTTAAGTATCTTATCTCATCCTTTCAACATCTCATAAATTATGTTCACCTTCAATTAAAGATGAGACTACCAAAACACAGAAAGCTTAAAATAATTTTCCCAAGATCAAACAGCTTGGGAATGTTGCAAAGTTGAACTAGGGACCTGGGATTATCTGCCTCCAAAATTTTAAAATTTCAATCCTTAAATCCATTCTAAGAAACCTCTATCTTAATACATTAAAAAAAATGTATAGTTAGTTTCCCAAATTCCTTACATCACCAAGAGTCTACAGCAGAGTTGACAAACTATGGTCCATGGGCCAAATCCAGTCACCTATTTGTTTACGTATGGCCTGTGGCTGCTTTTGCACTCCAAAACCAGGGTTGAACAGTGGCAACAAAGACTGCTTGGCCTGCAGAATTTGATATATTTATTCTCTGTCCCTATACAGAAAATGTTTCCAGAACCCCAGTCTAGAGCCTGAGTGATTTAGAGCATCTTGTAATGGCATAGCACTTTACAATATACAAAGCACCTTGGCATACACCATCACAGTTAATTCTGATTTTGTAGAGACATTCATGAATTATAAAGAAGGAAGCTAAAACTCAAGAGAGTTTAAATCCAATTTCTGTAGTTGAGGCCACAAGAGCATAATGTGGCAGAGCCACACACTCAGGTTGTGACTCCAAACTGCTAGATCTTTTAATGGAGCCACTGTCTCCTCTCTTACTGTCAGGGAAGGTTTGGAAACTGGAAAGAATCTATGAATACCGCAAGCACCTTGGACTGTCAAGAACACTTACGTAATTAGAGTCATCCAGTACCAAAAATATTAACTTAAATTTGTAATAAACCTGAAAGAAAAGTTTGTTTTAAAAGAGGGTATGTCAATTATAGAATATGCATTTTTAAATATAAATGATACACTCATACGCATTCTATCTTGTGCTACATAGTTAATACATGGTTAGATTTAAATGGACTTATTGGCAATAGATATGAATTTTACAATATAGATTTACCGAGACCACAAAAATTTTATTCAAAGAAGGTATAGATGCTTCTTTCTATTCCACAAATTCAAGTGTAATCGAAATAGTAATTATGATTCTTGAGATACGGCTCTTTAAGGGAGTATTTGAAATACACAATATGAGGCATCTTCTTTTTTATTCCAGATTTATTTTGTAACATACCTTGAGATTTCATTTGACATAAAATTGGATATGAGGGCACCCTGAAGTCACTGTAAGAAGGAATATGTATTGCATTTGTGATAAACTTAACATTTGATCTTATATAGCATACGTATGAAAGTATATATCATAGAATATGACATATATTATCTAATATGATAAAATATATCATATATATAAATGTATAGATATTCAGCTGGGTAACCACTGTTAAGGCATCTTCACTTATTTTCTGAAATGACAGAATCCAAGCATCTGGTTTTAAATGAGCTTTTCAAGTATCTACACAATAAATGTGCACAGAGGTAAAATTTGCTTTCTATGACTCAGCTAATTGCACTAATCAAATATAAAATTACTTTCTTTATAGAACTCTGTATAAAACTAATCAATCTTGGACACTGATGGGTCATGAGTTTTGATTAATACTATCCACTGAGGGTCCTTATTTTGACAGAGAACTCTGATTATTTCAGGCTTTAAATCAAATGGCTTTTTAATCAGTGATTTATGGTCTGCAGCACTGAGAATGACTCTGTAAGCAAATGGGCTGTGCCAACTGTTTTATCAGTCACCATTCACTTTTGGCAGTGGTGGATTGTTAAGAGCCCTAAAGAGAAGGATGTTGCCAGATACATTTTCTTATCTTCCCCAAGGCCCAGTGTTTAGCAACGTGTAGTCACCCACTAACATCTGTTGCATATCATTCAATCACCTATAAAGACAATGTGTGTATTTCCAAGCTTGATCTGGCAGCACAGTCTCAAGGACATTAGAAATGTGCGGATCGGCTCTCTAGCTGTAGACTAGCAGGGAAACATCTGGAACCAAGTGATCCCTGCAGTCAGCCTTTAACAAAGAAGTGAGCTAACTGTAGGCTCTAGTTTTAGTTCCGTTCCCTAGGATCTAAACATTTAACTAAAAACTGACAGAAACAAAAACTATCCCTAATGGATACCATGAAACTTTTTCTCTTTTGTGTGGCTCCATAATGCAGTACCATCTCTTTCACTGTTCTGCACAGGTAATACCAGCACATCTAAAGGGCTGACATTCCAGTTGAAATTTGGGATCCAAAGAGACATGAAATAAATAATTTTGTAGAAAGTGACACTGGCTTTCTTTTCTTCTGTTTGTAAACAGGCTGCTTTACTGGGAAGAGGGGGAGAAGAAGGTTGTTTGTGCTTTATTTTCACATTTGTACTTTTTTTGTTTGTTTGTGGTACCAGGGATCGAACTCAGAACCTTGCGCTTGGAAGGCAGGCAGTGGAACCACTGAGCTAGATCGCTGGCCTTATATATAAAATATAAAGCGGAAGAAATAAATTAGATGATTATTCACATTGTAAAGGGATTTTTCCATAAGGTTCCATTAAATACTGAACTCCCTTAGGGCACTGAATTTGGGCTGTGATTTAGATGCAGCTTTTCAGGAATATACTTCTTGTACAAAGTGAGGCACACCCATATATTCATCTTAATTCTTCTCCAAGGAAAATCCAGCATTTGTTCATTCATAGGGCAAGAAACAAACAGTCCTTATTAAGGAAGTCAGTGGCTTCATAAACTGCACTCCTCACCTTTCCCAGGAGCAGAGGCTTTGAGGAATCCAACCAACAAAGAAAAGACCCATATGTGGACAGAGTTCTTCCACTATCTCGCACCAACGCTCTTTCTAAACACCAGGGGTTTGCTTCACCTTGGCCAGGCAGATGTGAGTCCAGGAGCAGCAGTGTTCAAGATTCAGAGTGCACAGGCTACAATTATGGCCTGTGGTAGAGGAGGAAATTCAAAGAAACCTTCCCAAAGGCTTTTTGTACATCAGACACCCACCTACAACAGAGGGAGCACAACTGCTAGTTGTGTGAAAGACCATGAAAATCAAGGATCCTTTCCACCCCAAACCTTGGGCTAATTAGTATTAATTGGTAAATCACCTTAATCCCAGAGAGCAAAAATAGGTGATTGGGGAACTTAGTCCCATGAATTGGCGGCAGTCAAGGAGAGTACCCAGTAAAGGATCAAAATGGTCACATTCTAGGTGGTTTCACCGCTCAAACCAGCTGGCCAAGTTGCGAATGCTCTTGGGCTGGTCCCCAGCAGTCTGCACAGCCTGGCAGGCCCTGCACCAAGGCTCGTCCCAGAAGGAGGTGCTATGTACTGCAAACCTCCGGCGCCACTGGAAGTATCGGCGGTAGACTGCCAGGTTGCGATCGAGGAAAAGCAGGTAGGCAGCGAGGGAAGAGGCACTAGGGAAGTCGTCCACGTGGATGAAGGAGCCGCGGGGCACAAAGCGCTCATAGTTGGCACGGTCTGGGCCTAGAACCACCGGCACCGTCCCGGCCAGCAACGAGTTTCGCCAGAGCTTTTCAGTAATATAATCCAGGTGCTGAGAGTTCTCGAAAGCCAGGTAGAACTTGTAGCGGGCCACTGTATGAAGAAGCCCAGTGTCGGGCACCGGCCGCCCCGGCCCGCCCTGGCCGTACACGTCGACAGGCAGGTGCTGGCTCAGCTGATAGTAGTATTGGACCCTGGCCTGCTGCTCATCCCAATGGCTCACCACCCAAGCCACGAGGCCTCGTTTCCGGCCCAGCGGGGGGGCCAGGCCCTTGGGCTGGTCACCAGGGTGTCTCCTGGGATAAAGGTAGCCATACGGCACGAAGATATCCGAGTCAGTCCGGTATGAAAGCGTCCAGTTGAAGAGGTTCCCAGCCAGGGACCGCAGCCCCGGAGAGTGAGTGGGCGACTCGAAGTTCATCCACACCCAGCGCTGGCCCGGGGGCCTGGGGCCGGGCATCGCCGCCTCCTCCGGGCCGTCTAACGCTTGCAGC